GGGTCGCGGAACATGTCATGTCAAGTTGAGGTCATGGAACGGCAAGTTGGGCAGTTACACAGACAACACATCATGTAAATGTTCTCATGCAGGCTGTTTTCTCTCAGTTCAGTGTCATGATCATTGCATGTTCATCAGATGTCTTGTCGTGGAAATATCCCGGCCTCTCGGTAAATGCCTATAGCTGCAAGCTTAGGCTTACTGGGGCTTTACTATCTGAGGCCTTTCCAGTCGTTCCAAATAAAGAGCTTGAGGTGATGGCACGCATTTAAGTCTAAACATGCTTGGGGAAATGTGCAAGATATCTGGTGCGTGCATGTATTGAAGAATACATGCACACAGGAATGGTGCGCACAGGAACCCACAATGTTTGTCTTGGGGCACCCAGCCGCTCCCTGCACGCCTGTACCGGGTGCCGGCCCGGCTCGGGCTGTTGCTGTGCGTAGGGCTGGAAAGGAGTCCGATTTAGCGCTCCGTAGTCTTCGTCTTCGTTGTGGCTATGGAAGCAGTGGGGAAGGGTGAGGGCTTGATACGATAACGTGTGACGATGGTGTGTTGTATTTGGTGGTTTTACGATGACGATGTGTTCGCCTACGGACGGGAGGCTGCACGCTGTGCTTGGTGCAGTCTCCTTTTTGGCTGCATAAATCACTTGGACAGCTTGTGACTGTTATTTTATTGTGTCTGTGAGAAGCCCTTTGGACGGAATGTGTTATGTCTGGTTTAGGCAGAATGCGTCTATCTTGTCGTCGTTTCGTGTTTGCTAAGGTGTGTTCTGTCGATCTGAATGCACTCGCATGACATGTTGAAGCTGATGATCTCGTTCATATCACCGTCCACGATTTGTAGGTCTTCGAGTGTTTAGCCGGGATTATCACACGAGGACCACTGAAACATTGTCATAAGAAGTCAATGACGTCCGGTACAGTGCACCATTTCATTTAAAGGCTGTGCCATTGAAAGAGTACAGCACGCGGGGTTCCAAGAAATGATAGGAGGTGTCAGTTGACGTAGCGCGAGACCCGTCTGCTCCAATTCGGATCCCGTGCATTCGGTTTTCTCGTGGGATCATCCTGGGTTCCGGTTCTACGTCGTTCTTTATACAAGTTAACGACATGGAAATAAACTAGCAATGTAGGCATCTGTATAATCAACATGCTTTAAGTCCCGTTGCTTTCAGAACGGATATCCAGGAACGTGTGCAATGACTAATAATTTTAGTAGGTTATAGATTGCCATCAGAGCTCTAATTTTTGCCAAATGTTGTTGAGGAAAGCATTGAGCACAGGATTACCCAACCGGGGGTACGGTGAACATCATGAGCTTTGAATGTACTAAACAAACGTGGTTGAGTCTAGATCTGGGTATAAATTGCTATTTCCCTACATTGTTGCATTACATGCCCATTATCTCCTCATGTGGGTACCCTTAGGTACATTTATAAGAGTACATTTCGGCTCCTATGCCTTATGCTTTCCTTTGGTTTCTAAGGACTGAGTGGCAAAAGGGACTTAGCAATTGGAAATGAAATAGAAGATATGCATCGTCCAAAATTCTTCAAGGAGACCTGCATTCCGCGGATGTTCATCATCATGACGTGCTATTTTGTAGGGATCCACGTCTTTACGGCAGAGTAAGGTGGAAGTGGGACAAAGAGAAGGGGGCGGGGCGTAAGATCGTTCGCTCAGCTGCGATTTGTCCGCGACCCGAGAAGTCGAGGCCCTTAACGAAATGCAATATTAAGCCCCTGGACCACGTGGCGACCTTATGATTATTGGGCAGCTCCGTTGACGCCCAAACTACTTCCAAAAAAGAATGCATAGAAATAATAGAAAGAAGCAAACGCAAAATATTTTGGAAAGTTTCGCTGCATTTCCATCGCCTTCATTCAATGTATGCTCAACAATGTAGCTTTTAGTGGCCTCAGCTTTCCTGCTCCAAAACCTTGTTTCTCGTTGTTCTTGAAAGCTAGTTGTTAAGCTACAGCAAATACAAATGAATATACAAATTATTATTAATTATTATTAATTATTATTTGAATA